TCACCAAAGCGCATGCTTAGCTATTAAAGTTGAACTATGAGGAGTGATTTTCACTCAACCTCATAGTTGAAGCCGACGTGTGACAATGAAACTGTCACACGTCGGTTCAATAGATCGGGAAGTGAGAGAACACATACCGTCGCTTGCTCACTTCTCGATCATGTCCCTGCAGAGAGCCGTGACTGTCACTCACGGCTCCAAATCTGGATGCGTTTCTGCAAATGCGTGTATGCACATTTTTAATGCAGTCTAGTGATATTATTTGCTCCCAATTGGTTTTGCTTGGATTTTAGGCCCGTTGCAGTGTGTTCTGGTGCATTTACATGTGTTTTTGGTGCGTTTCAGAGGGAAAAAAATGGAGCATGCTGGACTTTTTTTTTTTTAACACTCTGGAACTGAAAGCAATAGTGTGAACTAGCCTCATTTTTACCATTGGAATTAATGTGCATGTGTTTTTGGTCCGGATAAAAAAAACGTTCTGGTATGGAGATGGAGAGAACAAGCCCTTAATACTAGGGATGTACCGATATCGATATTAGTATCAGTGCTGATGCCGAGTATTTGGGTGAGTACTCGTACTCGCCCAAATGCTTCGATGTCTAGCCCAATACTTCCGGTATCAGGAAGCCGGGCAGCGCGTCATTACACACTGCCCAGCTTCCTGATTGGCATGGAGCTGGCTTCCCGGCCAATCATAAAGCTCCCTGATTGGCCGGAAGCTAGCCAATCAGGAAGCCAGGCGCCATGTAATGACATGGCAGCCGGCTTTCTGATTGGTTGTGAAGAGGCTTCATGCTCCCTCGTCACCTCGCGAGTCATTACACGCCGCCTGGCTTCCTGAATGTTACTTCCGGTACTCGGTATTGGCGAGTACCCTCGCCGCTCCGATCCTCCAGCGCTGACTGGCGGAACGGACTGGGGAGGGGCGGTTATAGCGGGCCCTGCCTCTACATAAGCAGAGCCAGCTGTCACTCACGCAGCTGGGTGGATCTCGACAGTAATGTCGGGATCCGTCCCGACGGCAGCTCGCTATATACTGAGCTTTGGGTCACGGGAGGTTTATGTCCTACTGTGACCCTTAGGAGAACTATGGGGAAAAACACTTACCCCATAGTTCTCCTTTAAACCTTCAATTGTTTTATTTTTTTACAAAGATGATTATATGTGAAACATACAGAAAAAGAAAGTCTTCAATGTCTCCATTTTTTCTGCTCATTATTAGTATTCATTTGTTTTTATGAATACTACTGAAAAGAATTGTGATGAGGAGGAACGTGAGAGTGTGTAAAAAAAACAAAAACTAAAAATATTCCACCCCGGATGTCAAACTATGCTAGGTACACCTCTGGTCGGATGTGTCACCTTCAATGTCTAAGATAGAACTTTGATTTCTTTTTTAATTTTATTTATTTATCTTGTATATTTGTTGCTGTACAGGTGGAATGTTTTCTCACGACTGTTGCTACAGCCTATAAAAAAAAACTACCTCTGATGGGCGTACCTGACACAAGTACGTGTTCATTCCTAGTATTCTGATAATGCAAGCTAATATTAAAAAACAAAACAAAAAAACATTGAGAATAATTAAGGGTGGGAACTCCAAGTCCTGCTGCACTGCATTAAACAAATCTACCTGCTTAACCCCTTGGGGACCATTTTGCTGCCAAGGCCTATTTGTTTTTTTGTACACATTATAATCCACATTTTAGGCCCAGAAATTACTTCAAACCCCCAAGCATAGATTTTCTGAAAGCCAAGGCCCTGTAGAATAAAATGGTGGCAGTTGCAAATGTTTATGTTGCACGATATTAGCGCAACTCTTTTTCAAACCAAACAATTTTGTGAAAAATGCACTTAAAGTGACATTAAACCCTCAGATCTTTTAACATAAACCAATACTGTAATGTGTGCCTTACTGTAATCCATGGTAGTTTCCCTTCTCTTTGCTGCTCTTCCTTTTTAAATCCTCATGGTCTTCTCATGCTTGGGGAGAACTTCCCTTTGCAGCTGGGTGCCTCTTCCTGTAGTGCTGGCTCAGGTTATGAACCTGCACACAGACACCATGTATCCATTCCAGAGACAAGGCAGTCTGCTGCAAAACAGAAGTTCTGCCCAGCATGAGAACAGATACAGATTTAAAAGGAAGAGCAGCAAAGAGAAGGGAAACTACCATGGATTACAGTAAGGAGCACATTATAGTATTGTTTTATGTTAAAAAATCTGAGGGTTTAATGTCACTTTAAGTTAAATTTAGTGCCCCAAAACACAATAAAATAACCATTTTTTCATAAAATATAAAAGATGAGGTTACAATGAGTAAATAAATACCCAACATGCCCAGGTTAAAAATTGTGTGCATCTGTGAAATGGCGACAGAATTCAGTACCCCCAAAAAGTCCAAAAGATGACGCTTTAAGAGCCCCTACAGGTCATCAGCTTAGGGATACACGTAAATATTGGCCCTAGAATTAGGCATGCGCGGGATAGCATCCAGCATGCGTAGCGTGATTGTCGTTTTCATATGTAGATGCACCCACCACATGTTTACGTGAACATGCGCACGCTTGCGGGGGACCTAAAAAAATGTTTTCAATTATTTTATTTAATATTATTCAAAATTGTTTTTTTTTTTTTTGTCCCCTGGAGGGATTCGTACACCAAATTGGCTATACACAGAGCATTATTTACCGCTAGGCAACTAGTGGCAAGGAAATGGATATCCACCATCCCTCCCTCATCATCCAAATGCAGCTCTGCATTAGATAAAATTGTAATGTTTGAACGCATTACCTATCAATATAGAGGGATTGGTGAAGATACATTTTTTTTTTTTACTGTGGTCTAGATGGCTACACTATCATACACATTAAAGGTTCTCTAGAATTTCTTATTATTATTTAGACATATGAGTGTCATGTATGTGAGCTCTAGATATAATTTGACCTAAATGAGTTAGCTCCCTGGATACTGTTTTATTGATATGAGCATATGGTGGATGCGGTTTTTTTTGTGTTATCGGTTTTGGTTGTTTCTTATATATTTGTGCTATATTCGCTGTCATATATTTTTCTTTTATATTGTCTGTTTTAAGAAAAAAACTTAAATAAAAATGATCTGATTGAAGATTGTTTTTTTTTAACTTTAATTGCTATCACATAGGGGGGCTTACAAGCCTCCCATGTGATAGCAGATTGGTGGTGACAGGTACTCTTTAAGGTGATACTGGGAGTCCAAAGACCCCTAGTGTCACCTTTGCACTTTAAATAAGCTATTGAAATGCAAATCGCACATCAGTAGCTTATTGCTTGGCTTCAGGAGCCGAGCAATATTACAGCTCAGGGACCGGAAGTCGCTCCTGGTCCCATAGAGCGTGGAGGAGATCAGTGAACGGACTTTCGCGCCGTTCTCCTCCCCAGCTTCCCGCCGACACCGAATATGCCGGTCCCAGGCCCACAAGAGGGGCAGCGGAGCCCGGGAAACATGGCAGCAGCCGGCTTTACAATTGTAAACAGAGTCCCGGCGGCTTGAGTCTGTTTAACCCCTTCGTGACTGACTACGTACAGTGTACGTCGCCAGCATCGGGGCTGTTTAAACAGTATGCGCATTTTTAATGCATTCTAGTGCTTTTATTTGCTCCCAATTGGTTTTGCTTGGATTTTAGGCACGTTGCAGTGTGTTCTGGTGCATTTACATGTGTTTTTGGTGCGTTCCAGGGGAAAACAAAATGCAGCATGCTGGACTTTTTTAAATTTTCTTAACACTCTGGAACTAAAAGCAATAGTGTGAGCTAGCCTCATTTTTACCATTGTAATTAATGTGCATGTGTTTTTGGTCCGGATAAAAAAAACATTCTGGTCTGGAGATGGAGCGAACAAGCCCTTAATACTAGGGATGTACCGATACCGATATTAGTATCAGTGCTGATGCCGAGTATTTGGGTGAGTACTCGTACTCGGCCAAATGCTCCGATGCCTATGCCGATTGTCCGGTATCAGGAAGCTGGGCAGCGCGTCATTACACACTGCCCAGCTTCCTGATTGGCATGGAGCCGGCTTCCCGGCCAATCAGGAAGCAAGGCAGCGTGTAATGACGCACTGCACGGCTTTCTGATTGGTCGGAAACTGGTAAATTAGGAAGCCAGGCACCGGCTTTCTGATTGTGGCTTCATGCTCCCTCGTCACTTAATGACGAGGGAGCATGGAGCCGGCTTCCCGGCCAATCAGGAAGCCGGGCAGCGCGTAATGACATGCTGCCCGGCTTCCTGATTGGCCAGAAAGCTGGCTCCCTTCTTTCTCGTCACCTAGTGACGAGAAGCATGGGGCTGGCTTCCGTGCTAATCGGGAAGCCGGGTGGCGAGTCATTACACGCCGTCTGGCTTCCTAAATGGGACTTCCGGTACTCAGTATAGGCGAGTACCAAAAATAAATAAAAAATATCAGTACTCGATACCGAAATACCGGTATTGGTGCATCCCTACTTAAAACTATTGCACAGGGGATTACAAGAAGCTAATACTGAGGCAAATACATGTACTTACACTAGCTGCATTGATAAATACATTGCTTTCTATTGAATACATTAATTGGCATTTTATTTTCTATCTGCCCGAAGTTCTGTTTTAAATGCCCAGCACTGAATATGCCTTTCAAATACCTGAATCCTGAATTACTTACCATCTGTTTTTTTATTTGCCAATACTATAAAACGTACATTGGAATTAACTTTAGCAAATGCAAGTACCTGCTCAGCATCTCTGAAGTAACTCTAGTAACCCTAGGTGTACACATTATTATAATACAGGATTTATATAGCCTCAGCGCTTTACAATATGCGCATTGCTGTAGAACGCTGCATAGCATTATATTCTCCAGTGATTATTGTACTGTGTAGGGCAAAGTCGGCTACGGTATAAGATTCTCCTTCTTCTGCAACAATGAACAAATCACAGCCAGCGTTTTACATTAATAGTATTGTATACACGAGATTCTAAAATGTCATGTCTAAGACTTTCTGGCTCTTTTCTTTGCCTTTGGGTTGTCGAACTCTTCGAATAGTTTCTCCTCCACCAAGCACACCTCCTGATGGATGATGGCTATTTCCACTCCCAGCACAAGGGAGAAGAGGGACAGGACAAAATCATAGCTTCCAGGGAATTTCGTTTTGTCGTATACTTTCCAGTGTGTGCAGAATCTGCCATAAAGAAAGAAAAATGTGAACAATCAGCAACGCAAGTCAATGAGCAAATGATACAGGAACCCTATAGTATCCCTTCACAAGGACCAGAGCAGCACTATGCAGGAACCCTAGTATCCCTTCACAAGGACCAGAGCAGCACTATACAGGAACCCTATAGCATCCCTTCACAAGGACCAGAGCAGCACTATACAGGAACCCTATAGCATCCCTTCACAAGGACCAGAGCAGCACTATACAGGAACCCTATAGCATCCCTTCACAAGGACCAGAGCAGCACTATACAGGAGCCCTATAGTATCCCTTCACAAGGACCAGAACAGCACTATACAGGAACCCTATAGTATCCCTTCACAAGGACCAGAACAGCACTATACAGGAACCCTATAGTATCCCTTCACAAGAGCCAGAGCAGCACTATACAGGAACCCTATAGTATCCCTTCACAAGGGCCAGAGCAGCACTATACAGGAACCCTATAGTATCCCTTCACAAGGGCCAGAGCAGCACTATACAGGAACCCTATAGTATCCCTTCACAAGGACCAGAGCAGCACTATACAGGAACCCTATAGTATCCCTTCACAAGGGCCAGAGCAGTACTATACAGCAAACCTATAGTATCCCTTCACAAGGACAGTTACTGGCGCCGGCTGTGAGAATACAATAGCTGGCAGGGAGATTCCTCCATCCATGCTGTTTAGTGTGGATGGATAGGAGAATCGAGTGATTCCTCTGGTTCAGCACAGTGTTCAGTTCAGCCAAGCCCAAACCTTTCTGGCATGGCCAAGCTTTAGGTACTGCATTAAGCATTTCCTGGCCCCATCTGCCTTAAAGTAGTTCTAAAGGCTAGGTGTTTTTTACCTTAATGCATTCTCTGCATTAAGGTAAACGCCCAGTACCTTTGCATGCCCCGTTCTCTTATATTTCGTCACCCCTCGCCAGGCCCACGAAGATATCTGCTGTTCCCCAAATTTCCTGGTTGTGGGCGCTCCCATGATGGAGGATACAATCTCACGTTTAGTTTACTAGTTTGTATTGAGTTTGTAGTCCATCACAGGAGTGAGCTTGGAGCGGTGACTACTTTACAACACACACAGGGACCATGGGGAACAAAAGTAGCCCCCCTCCAGAAGGAAGGACAGTGTCAGTACCAATTCAGCGATGATTTGAGGATCTACAGCCGAGTGATCCACAAATAAGATACATTTTATTAAGAGTTAAGCTACTTGAATGTATTTCTAAGATTTTAACTCCAGAGTTTAGTGTCACTTTAACCCTTGCATTGTGGGAGAAAGCCCCATTCCATTCCCATTGTTTTTGATTTGCCCGGAATTCTTCTTTAACACCTTTCCTCATTAGGTCTCATGCACTGGGGCGTATTAAAATACTCCTGTCTACGCCATTACCTGCATTTACCCATGCATGGCATTTTGAGGCATGTTTATGTGTGTAACGCATTCTGTTGGCTAGCATATTCATTTATTCTAGCCAGTAGATTGCATTCCCATGCATACACACACGTTTACATGCATCTACACATATGTGCCTAAGGCCTCATGCATACTGTATGCAATCCCAGAATGCATCATTCCTAATAGAAATATTATTTATGTGCGTATCCGCATAAAATACGCAGAAATACGGAGCCCAGACGCATCTTGGGTCCGTTTTTTTGGCGCATCTTTACGCATTGCAAATATACAGCTCCAAACGCAGCTATGTGTATGGAGCCATTTATGTGCATATGGGGAAATACGCTGCACGCATCTATACGCAGCATATTGTATGGCAGTGTGAATGAGGCTAAATTATGCCAATAAGCTCTTCTCAGAAGACAGGCTTGGGGCATTTTTCTTGCTTGCTGGAAGCAATGCATGATGGGATGAGTAGGCTTGAGAAATTTAGACTGCATCACATCAAGCAGCAGGAAAAGAGAGGCAAAGCACACTGGGAATCCTGGAAGTTGATGAAAGTGATAGGCAGACAGTAGGGAGCACTCACTACATAAAAGGGATTGGTTTCATTATCAGAAACAACTCTCTTATGTATTCCTATTACAATGCTGATGTTATAACAGGAGAGTGTTTGCTGGGACTTTACATCTCCTTTAAACTGTCACCAAATTGTATGAAAATTGAGCTCATGTGTGGGCAACCTTACAGCCAATCAGAATTCTTCTTTCAGTCATTTGAACATCCTCTGCCATCTAAATGCTTGTTGTTGGCTCCTGCCCTTCTACTTCACTCTGCATTGAATTATAAAACAAGCCCGTCTTCCTATATAAAGGTTTACAATTAAGATGTACGAGGGAACAGAGATTTCTAGCAAATTCTGAAATATTGAACTGAAATTTCCTTTAATATCAGCATGCAAAACTCAAACCCAACTAGAAAACTAACCAAATGGCATCTTAGAGGAACGTACAGTAAGTCCTTTTCATAATAATGCGATATCATAAAATATAAACTTTACATTCCACTCACGGTACACTTTCCAGGAATTTACTCCTGATGTTAAGGTTCCTTGGCAGGAATTAAGTGCACTAATCACCCAGGCACAGTATCTTAAAACTGGTTTTGTCTGCAGTATTTGCCTATTACTACACCTGTTAAGCACAGCACGGTAATACATGTTTAGAACTAGGACTAAGGCATAATGTATATCAAGAATATCCAGTTTTCTCCAGAGAACATTTTATTGGTGTGATTGTTCATTGAAAGTCAGCCATGTGTAGAGAGCTGTCAGGGTATTCACCATACAACGTCCTTAACTGAAAACTTGTGAATGTCTTATTTCCTTTTCTGACTCACATTTCTATGTGGGGAATTTTACTTTTCGCTCAATTACAATAGCGTTTCCTTCTTAGGGCTAGGTTGACAACTAACCATTGAGGTGCGTTGCGGTAACACCTACGCGCGCTATCACCATGAATGGGATGACTCCTCAACTGCCAAGAAACCAGACCTGCACCTTGTATGGCACTTTGATGCACATTACTGCACCATGCTGTGGTGCAGGGCACTTGGGTCAGCAAGGTGCATTGGGGTGCCATTCAGAATTAATTGCACCACTGCAATGAGTGAGCAGTAATACACACTGGAACACACGCATTCCCGCAACACAATAATGTAAACAAGGTCTACATAGAAACTTGACTTTAGAGCAAAGGAATAGGCTTATTTGCATGTCAACATCACTGGCCGCACTTTCCTCATTACCTGCCACTCTGTACAAATTCCTGTTGATTCTGGGTATGCCCCAATTGACAATGCTGGTGCTTGGCTGCTCAGGCATCAATCCCTGTCCTTTAGGTAGAAGAGAGTCCCCTGCCCTGTGTAACCTTGCACGTAGCTTCATCTCTTTGCATCCAGCAGCCGAACACAGTGGCAGGGAAGTGAACTACGGATGCGTTGCTCATGGGGCTACCATTAGGACCTGTGTCAATGGGTGTTGGGCTTGTGCCGAAGACATCAGTTTTACATCAGATTAAGATGCTCATTCTGAGATCAGACAGAGCACTGTCTTCTTAAAACAGAAGGTACTTTAAGGTTTTTTTCATGGTCTTTCAATTATTTTTTTGAGTTACATGTGAGCTTCATAGAAAAAAATGAGGTTATCAATGTTTGTCAGTAAATGTTTTAAGGGCCTTGTTTCATGTATAGTTTGTAATTATATTTGTGCATGAGGGGGTGTCTATATTTCTCATCACGTATTCAGGGTCTGATCACCTGCCTTGTCATCCTACACATATGTTCTACTCTAACACGCCTTCTCCCAATACAAATCTAAGAGTGGACCAAGTCTTTCGAAACAAAGCATTCCCTGTGTGGCAGATATCTGAACAGCTGCGAGGAAAAGGTGGCAGAGTGTTTTCTCATTCTAGTGACTAATCTACAAAGCACAGTATTTAATCCAATAACAAAATAAAGAGTGCATGCATGTTAAAAAAATTAAAAAAAACATTTTTTTAAATGTTAGTTTTGGATAGTGTGGAGAATAATATATATATATATATATACAATATATACATACATACATATATATACATACATATATATACATACATACATATATATACATACATACATATATATATATATATACATACATACATACACCCATCACACTCCTGACTGAATAATACCCTTAGAGTCGGGTGACTGCAAATGCCTCTGCAATTCAAGATAAGTGTATGTATAAAGTCTTTCGCACTCCAATAGAATTTCAAGTCAAAAACGGTTTATTGACTCGATTGCTATCACATCATATAGCGATATGATGTGATAGCAAACGAGTCAATAAACCGTTTTTGACTTGAAATGTTATTGGAGTGCGAGTGACTTTATACATACCTTTAGAAAATAATAGGAAATACAAAAATGTAGAGTTATCATCAGAACAGGAGGTGAAGGAAATCCTGCAATGGAGATGCATGTTCCTGTGACGATGGTCTAGGACGGTAATTCTGTTCACTTTGGAAAGATTTCGTGTTGAATCTCCAGGACAGGACGTAATGGTCAAATCAGCAGTACGAAATAAGCCAAAAGGGTCTCCACCACATTCCTGGGACATATAGGGTGTAGATTTAAGGCAACTAGGCTGTTCACTTTGCAAGGGAATTTGCACTTAGCAGGGGAAGTTTGCCCTTGGTGTAGTGAATGAGGGGAAGCTCTGCTGACTTCCATCACCCAATCATGTTCAAAAATGCTGTTTGTTTTATTTTCCTTGCACATGATTGGGTATAGTTTACAAAGTGAAGTTTCACCACATTCACTAAACTAAGGAAAACTTCCCTTGTAAAGTCCAAATTCTCTTGCAAAGTGAACAGCCAATTTGCGTTTAGTAAATCAACCCCATTGTATTGCCTTAAATATCACCAGGTTGTAATATTCTTGCAGGGACAGCTGCTAGGAGCTCAGTTACTACCAACATAGGCATGCCACCGGAACTACATCTACGAAGAGCCCTCTCCCAATACAAAGTTTGTGGACAGGC